CAAGCCTTTAGCCTTTCAAGAAGGATTTCTGTGAATAGTTTTACATTGCAGTTTAAAAAGGAAATCCCGCTATAATTATTCGCAATCTACGGGTTTACTTTTTTAAAGAGCGGATAAATGGGAGCTGTTCCGGCATCTAATATTTTGTTAAAAACCAATACTAACTTTGTTATAAAATTTGAAGATGCATGTTTATAGAACTCTATGGTGATTATGTTTTCTCCCTGCGCTTTATTTGGCTTGCTGTTTCTTAAAATTATATTAATTTCTTCTATAGTGATTTCATTATCCAACAGATCTATTTTAATATTTGATATAGCGAAACTGAATGCATACCCAACTTGAGTATTCAATAGCGCTGAGAAGTAACATGACAAATGGGTAGAATTCAGCTCTATACTTTTGGTGAACTTTTGTTAAGTTTTCACAATATATTTCAATAAGTTTTGCTATCATTAACTGATCTTAAGGAGTTAGCTAACTCCGAGTAATATAAGTTGTCTTTACGTTTACAAAGCAGTTTAAACTCTTTATTTGCACTTGTATATAACTGTTGGACTTCCATTTCTTCATGCCGCTTTGCAATGTGAAGTAAATTGAATGTTGACTTTCGTGTTAAATCGCATTCCGCATCATACAATGCTTGGTTATATTTTCTTTGTAAGTGTTTTAGTTGTAATGGTTGTGCCGCTTTTTTAATGCAATGCGATAACAATTCAATTCCACTTTCAGCTGTTAGTTGGTTATCTTCCATTAAAAATAATTTGTGCTCTAAGTTTAGCGCAAACTTATGTGCATTTCGATTTGACCACAACAGCGTGGGGAGAAATTATAGTTCCACCTGTACTGGGCTTCTCAAAAACTGTCCAGAGACATTTACTTCTATTGGCATATGGTACAAATAAATTAAATCGACAACTTTAAAGTTTCTGACTACTTGCCACCATAGTTCTTTAAATAAGCAGTAGTCTATTAATGAACGACCATTATTTCTTATATACATAGGTAAATTTTCCAAATCTGTCGCTCTCTGTTCTGCCATTAACTACTGTTAGGCCCAAATTTTCACACATTTCACACAGTTTTTTCCCCTTATTATTGCATGTACGGTCCCTCGAACTTCTGCTTTCTCTTAGCGCCTACAGAGTATACGGATTATGTTCATAGACTTGTTTATCACCAATTCTTGCATTAAGATCACTAACAATCGTAACATTTTCTAGTCCAGCTTCTGTGAGGGAGTCATGAAATTTTTTAAAATCACTTTCCCAGTTATTACAGTTTATATATACCGGCACAATATGCAGGCTTCCGTTAGTCGTAATTAATTTAACAAGTGTTCTTCTATCACTTACGATAAAGTTCGCTTTATTTGTTAAATGTGTTTGCTTCTTTATGGTATATAGTTTACCTCCAACTGGCCCTTCCGCAATTATTTGTTCTTTTAGCAGGTATCCGTTCTATAATATAATTATGTAACTTTCTTACTACTTCTTCTAATTTTTCTTCTAAAAATGTTTAAAATAAAAATGTGATATCGAAGGGACAACTATATTCGTAGAATTGGCAGTGTAAGGTTTTATTTTTTAAACCGGCTACATTATATGATAATATGTTCAGGTTAAAGCTGCATTGTAATGCGGACTCGTCGCTGCATTCTCTTTTGGAATTTTTTACTATGCAAACGCTTTCCGAAATATTTACTAGTTTTTTGCATTTATTTTATTGTGCAGTTTAATATAGTTGGTACATATACGACACCAAGGTATTATCGTTCTTTAGTTTGTTATTACTGTCCCATCTAAACCATTTGTTCCCTATCCGTAATTTATCATCTCTAACGGCAAGGCAATGTTTCGAGCTTACTTGCAGTATTTTCTTTTTTAATTCCAGCATAATTCTTTTATTTTGCTGTTTTTTAAATGTCAAGTCCCGTTCCACAAATATTGCTTCCCTGCCAGCTTACTAGCATTTTTCAGTAGTTCTACTGCGGTTTGTTCTGTTTCCATCTCTACTAGAACGTGCATTTTACCGTATTTTTCCGAAATATTTCTAGTATCCTTTATTTTTGTTGATGCCGAAACTTAAAGAACATCAGTGCATAGACCTTTGAACAATAAATTTTTCTGTTTTGCTTGCGTTTCAAGCGTAGAAATCCTTTTACTATCTGAAGTCCTATATTCTTTGGATTTTCAACTTCTTTCTTTAGATTTTCGTTTTCTTATCTAAGCGCCATGACATTCTCAGAAAGGTAAGTAATTTTTTCTAAAACTTCACAATCAGATCGCCTACTTTAAGAGTATAATTAGAGCAACTCGGTTCGTCTTCAGGCGAAGTTTCTGCTAACATCCTTTTAGCCGACGAATTATATGATGTTCTCTGGTTTCTTGATGGCGTACGATGTATGATTGTTAATTGATTGAATTTTATTTAATTTGTAAATTATCTTAAAAGTATGCTATGTTTTTTGTTTTGCCAAATAGTTTTACGATTATCACTTAGTTCGAAATATATGGTTTGTGTATCAGCTATCTTAAATTTATTTTGTTTATTCTGTTATTTTTCACACATTACTTAAACTACAGCGGTCAAAAAAAGTATTCGTCTTATCTAAATTTTTATAAAATGTTATAATAACAACAAAACAAAACTAAAAAATTAAAAAAAAATAATAAAGTAACGAAAAAAGCAATTCTATTGCGGAACACCAAAAATAAAGCAAAAAAAGTATTCGTCATTTATGCAACAGACTGCAGTACACCTATTGACCAAAAAACAGCACTAGCAGCACATTGTATTAAAATGAACCATACTCCCAACTTCGATAATGTAAAAATTCTTCATCGGGAGAAAAATTGCAAACGTAGAATGTTGCTAAAAATGCTATATATAATTGACGTACCAGATGGTCAACAATTAAACTACAACTGGGATACTGAAAACTTATCACAAATTTATAGATCTTTAATCAAAAATAAATTGTTAAGTTTATATAATTGTATCTGTATAATTTGTAATCACCATCTTCAGTGTCTACGAAGTAGACTGAAATATTTGTTAAAAAAATATATTACATAAATTTATCACTGTGATATTTTTATTTAATTTAAAGTTTGTTTTTTTATATAATACAAGTTATTATATAAAAATAAAAATTTAAAAACACGAACTAAAGCCCAACAAAATTTAAGGCATTTATTTTTGTTTAATTTTGAAGTTTAATTTCTTTTTTAATTTACATTTAAATTTAATTAAGCAATTTTGAGCAAGAATCTCAAAAATATATCAATATATATATGAGAAGAATTTTGTTATTAAATAAATGCATTTAAAATGCTTTCTAAAAGAATGAATAAGAATCTTAATTATGGGGAAAAAACTGAATACAAATACATGAAAAATTTTTACACGGAACCGAACTAACCACCGAAAAAAACCGACATTTTTGCTGGAATGAAAACCGGAACCGAACTGATATATTTTTTTGTCTTGAACCGGAATGAAAAATGTGTCGGTTCGATGACCTACATGTAACTTATGTGTTACTCTTCATGTGATACAAGAATCTAATAGATTTGATTTTTTTCATGTTAGTTGGCCAGTATGTTTGGTAGTCTGTACTTATAAAATTACTATTTGTTTAATATATTAAATATATTACAATATCCTGCCTTTTCGATTTGTTATTTCGGAGCTTCATCTTAACATAACAGTCTCCTTCAGTAATTTATTAAATATCAACTATTCCACGTATGTATAATGATCTGGTGTTGTAATGTTTAGGCATCAGTAAATAACCGACAACAACTGGTACAAAAGTATAATAAATACCTTCAACTCAAATCGAAGCACAAATAAATAACACAGAGATTGCAAATGCAGAACAAAAATTGACACCAATGATTTCTTAGCCGCCAGTTCTAATAACCTGCCAAAAGCACATATGAGATTTGGATTGTAGAACAATCAAGGCGTACAAAAGCTGCGTATAACACAATGATCTTAAGTGTTCGAAACATACAAAGGAGCTGTCGAATGTGCATATAAGGGGGCGTGTGATATAATATAGAAATTGTTGCTATATTTTCTATTCATATTGTTAGTTTGGGTGCTTGTGTGATTTAAAGTGCAAAGATTTTCTGTTTTGCGTTCTTATGCTTCCTGAGTTTTGCTGCACCGAGACGAAAGGGCAATCAGTGAAGTGCAATTTTTTGCTTTTATATTTACAAATTTTTTTCTTTTTGGATAATGAGGAAATAGTGAGGAAAGGACGTTAGATAGTAATAAACACCACCAACACTTCTTCTATTCTTCATTCTTATTGCACACATATTAAATAATTTCATATGCGAGGGTATGTGAGGCAATATTTCTAAAGTTAATGCATAATCTTTGTTTTTGTGATTGACTTTATGTGCATGAAACGCATACGTACTTCTAAATTATTATTAATTTGATTATTGATGAAATTTTACACTGGTCTCATACAAATATATGAGGTTTGCCTATTAGGAGGTGAATAAACACTGGCAGTAGCGCAACCATAGTTATTGTTAGTGTAAATGCAATTAATATGTTCGGTAGTGAAAACAGTACTATGACCTGTAGTAGCAATGATTTCATGAAGTATATTAATAAACAGCATGTTGTTTAATATAGTTAGGAATTATTCACTCAAAACTGAATTGAAAACCAAAAAAACCGTCTTTTTTATCAGAACAGAAAAAGGAAATTGAACATTAATACTGTGTAAATTGCACATATCAAGAAGAGTCCAATGTAAATGACGTTTGCACTACATATGTTAAGTAAGAAAATTTATTTTTACGAAGGTGAAACAATTGACAAAAAGTTCAAAAAATAAACAGTGACAGTTGAATGTCTTAATAAATAATAATAATAGTTTTTTGTGAACATATATTAAAAAGTCAAATACAAATTGTTTAAATTAAAAATTAAATTATTCCAATCTTTTTAAACAATTATTTCTCAAAATTTAGATGACGTTAAGTGCTGAAATTAATCTTACTGCAAATAATATTATTCGAGATGGCTCAAATGCATCTTTTAATACAACGAAAGAAGTTTCCAATTCTTCTAGTTTTGATGGATCTGCAAACTCAAATCAGAATTACCGTTTTAAAATGTCTGCAGAAGCAGCAAAGCTATTTGAAACACTGCAAGAGAGTCCCCTTCCAATAGAAGTAATCCATAAACTGTCATATAAATCGTTTTTATAATTAATTCGGATTAAATTTAGACACCAATTTCCAACCGAAATATGCGATGGAATTCAACTGTTTCAATAAATATGAATGACTCAAAATTTGAGAGTTCAAAACAAAAAAACTCCTGTGATTTAAGCCAGGACTCCAGTTTTATGTAAGAATTTGGTACATATAATAATTATTTTCAAATTTTAATTCTATTCCAGCAAAAATAATTCGCCTGCGAAAGAAACAATTCTATCACAGCAAAGTTCAAGCACGGATGAAGGGAGTGAAGCAGACCAAATATTTATTAATAATAAAAATGCAGTTGGTAAGTTTGTTTAACATTTAAAATTATTGTCATGTAGAATGATGTTCCCTAATTTGTAATTTTTTGTTTCTTAAAGGGGGTTCACAATCTTCCTTGGACTTAACTCAACGTATTAAATCATATGCAAGTAGCAGTTCCTCAAGTGGTGTCGTTGCAAACTATTCAATGAGCTTAAATCAGAATGTAAGTAGTGGGTTATCCAAGACTAACTGTTCATCCCTTAAAAGCATAGATTGCGATTTAGCTGCAAATGCTGACATAGGATGCAACCTGCACTCTTCCATAAGCAATATTACTACTAATTCAGACTCTGATAACCCAATGGACTGTGCAATCTACGACAATAATGCTTCTTATACTTACAAGCCCATTGTAAGTCACTGTTCAAAGTTAAGCAACAAGTCACCAACGCACTATATAGGTCAAAGATCTCCAATTCATTTCAGGTATATTTAAAAAAAATTACTAATTTTATAAATTGAGCATTTAAAATTTTAAACATTCATTTTTATCCAAATTGATATGTTTACTGATTAAAAGTATAAAATTTTATTTTGTATACGTTACTTGATGCGAATTCAAATGCCTTGTCTGAACTAGTCAGCTGGCTTCACAGTTATAGATTAGTTTATGGTTTATACATAATAAAATTACAATCAAATCATAAATTTGTGCATAAATTAGAAATTAATATAAATATAATTCCCAATAACTATACTATTTAGGTACAACACAAATATGAACAATTGCAAGGAAATATATTATTCTTTTATGTGACACAAGGTGTAACCAAATATTAGTGAAGAAAATAAATTTAGTGCAATTGCAATTATGACATTTTAGAGTTCCGAAACTATCGAGTTACCAAGAGTTACCAAAAATATTTGTTTTAGCCCACTGAGTTTCGTTGATTTTCATTGGGGCAGACTGCTGCATTGGTCTGTTAAATGATTTCGCCGCCTTTCACAGAGAGTATTCGGTATTTTTGTCTGCCTTGAGCCACTATCAGAACACTATTGAAAGTGTTATTTCTGTATAATTGGATGGCGTGTGGAATTTTTTAGTTGTTCGGTTTAGTTGCGACTTTATTAACGGATCTAGTTGCTGTAATTTTCGCTTCTCCGTAATCTTGTTTGTGATGAAGGGCAGGTATTTTTCACCATGTGCAATTTGGAGTTTTAGTGTTTGTGTACTGTTCCATGGTGCCAACTGCAGTTGCTGAGTGAAGTGAAATACTGCGTCGTCTACTTGCTCGCTGTAAACGATGCCATCAATCTTGCGTAAATGAACAAGCTGCAACTGAAAATATTTTCAGTCGGTAAATGTATTTACCAACTTGGGTGTGTTCTGGTTTATTGTTGGATTTTGTAAAACCATCAGCAGGACTGGTGAGTGATCAGAGCTAAACTCGAAGTCTTCTGAGATGGTTAGGTGAGATGTTGGATTCTTTTTGTAGACAAAGAAGTCGATTAGGTCTGTAATTTTGCTAGTATCCGACGGACAGTACGTTGGTTGAAATCGAAATACAAGCTGCGAATTGCATGGCTTTGTGCTTTTCTCTTCCTTATGTTGTAGTAAGTCTTGAGCCCCAAAACATATTTTTTTCGTTGAAGTCATCTCCTATTATGAAGCGACCTTTAAATCGGTTAAAAAGAGATAAGGAAGCACTTCAACTGATGCCTATATAAAGCAGTTACGACCAGCGACTGAAAAAGGTTTCTATGGAAACAAAAGTGGCTTGAAATTATTTGTGCAAAATTCAAAATTGTTCTAGTAAGTTTTATAGAGTTTTTAATTATGACAGCGCTGTCACCCTTAGCGCAATTATTGGGATGTATGCTATGGTATAGAGTATAGTTTATAAACTTTGTATGCGATTGCTTTATGAAATAAGTTTTAGCGATTAGACCGATATCAATGTTTTCGCTATTTAATACGACTTCAAGTTCATTTTTATATTTTGTTAAGCCATTCGCATTTCATAAGAATAGTTTCAAACGATTAGTCATAGTCTAACAATTGCATATTTGTTTTTCAATTTTATTTTTTGTAATTCTTTATCGACTATGCCACCACGATAATTCGCTGGATGCGGTTCGCCACAGTTACAACATTTAGGCTTATCGGATACTGTCTTTTGCCTCTCAGAAGTTAAATGGCATATTTAACACATCGTGGAGGCTTTTTACAAAAAATTTTTGTGTGGTCAAAGGATTGATATTTTTACATTGAGGAATTAAGTTTGACGATTTGATTGGTTCAACTTTTACAATTGTGTTCATGACACTTTTGATCTCATAGATTTTCTTCACATCGTCGGTTGAGTCAAATGACAAAAGGAACATATCAAGCGGTTCTTCAGTCTTCCATTTTTGTTTGTTTATCGCACCGATTGCTTTTAAACCTTGGTTGTTTAAGTCGTTTATACCTGATTTTTGACCACACAAGTTGTGAAAATTTTTTACTATAACTTTTATTGGCTTAGTTTGCTTGTCTTCGTAGCTGAACCAGGAGATGTTTTCGTGAGTTAGGAGTTTGGTAACAAATCTGTAATCAAAAGAATCAAAAATAGATACTCTATATGAACCATTATTTATAATTCTCACAAAAAACTTGTTTTTTATAGTTGCTGTAAGTTGAGTATGCAATTTTTTGAAATTATTCATGCCGTTAATAACAATAGGAGGTGGTCGAGCAATTTTATTAGGGGCAGCTTTTTCTTTTGGGCAAGCATTTGTTTCAACACTTGGTCTGCTTTGACTGGCTACTTAAGGAGTGGATTCGGCCTTACGTTTTTTAGTTGGTCGTTTCTTTTTGAGAATCTAGTCTGTCTCTCTAGCAGGTTCCTTATCAGTTTTATATTTTGCAACGTTATGAGTAGTTTCCATGATTTCTGGTACGTTTTTAAATGATTTCAATTTTTCATTTTCATTTCTTAGTGCACTTAACTCGTTGGGTAATAATGAATATAAATTTTCAAGCTTTTTGATTTTGTTCTGAAGTTCTATATTTTCCATTTCAAATTTAATTATTTTTTCTTTATTTCCACCACCCGGATATTGGGTGGGATATTAGCATCAGTCATATTAATTTTGAATAATTCTATTTGGCAGCACGTATAGATAGGTAAATTAATAATATGAATTTAAATGTTTACCTTAAGATTTATAATATTTTAAGCATCTTTTCGCGTATTTATTTATTTTATTTAGTTAGCATTAGTTAATTATTTTGCTATATTGTTACACAATTACACTATTTTGTTAGTTGCAATTTGTTAAATTTTTTAAGTTTGCTTCCAACACGTTTTTTGGTGAAAATAAAACACCAATTATTAATAGGAAAGTAAAAAACATTTTATTCAAAGTATTGGCCATTGCTTTCTACACATTTTGACCACCTTTCTGGAAATTTGTGGATACCACGCCAAAAAAATTGTTCGTCTTTTAAAGCAAACCAACCAGACACCCAATTTTCGACCTCCTCGTAGGAATCAAAGTGCTGCTCAGCCAATGCGTGTCCCATCGATGAAAACAAATGGTAGTCGGAAGGAGCCAAGTCTGGTGAATACGGCCCAGCCAAGTGTTTTGATTGCATCCTGAACTCGTTTTGCTTTGTGTGCAGGTGCATTGTCATGGAGCAGAATTACCTTGCCGTGTCTTCTGGCCCATTCTGGTCGTTTCTCGATCAATGCATGGTTCAAATTTATCATTTGTTGTTCATAGCGACCATCATTGACGGTTTCATCAGGTTTAAGGAGCTCGTAGTACACCACACCTTTCTGGTCCCACCAAACACACAGCATTGTTTTCTTGCCGAATCGATCTGGTTTTGCAGTCGATGTTGATGGTTGTCCCGGATTAACCCATGATTTTTTCCGTTTACGATTCTTAAAATAAATACATTTTTCATCGCCAGTAACAATCCGATGCAAAACCGATTTTCTTTCGTGTCTTTGAAGCAAAATTTCACAACTGTTTTTTCTGTTTTCCATCTGTCTTTCATTCAATTCATGTGACACCCATTTTCCACACTTTTGGATCTTTCCCATAGCTTTTAAACGGTCAGAAATTGTTTATTGTGCAATATTTAACATTTCTGCCATTTGCTTTTGACCCAAAGTGTCATCTGCATCCAATATCGTTTGCAATTCGGCGTCTTCAAACTTTTTTGGCGGTCTTCCACGTTCTTCATTTCTCACATCAAAATCATTATTTCTGAACCGTTGAAACCATTTTTTGCATGTTGCTTCTGATAGAGCATGATCACCATATGCCTCGACAAGCATTCGATGCGACTCTGCACCACTTTTCTTCAAATGAAAACAAAAAATTAATGCTTTCCGCAAATCATCACTTTCTGGTACAAAATTCGACATTTTGAACACGATGAAAAAATATGATGTTGTCTGTTCAATGACTTGATGAATACTAAATATATTTCACAAATGTCATAGGAAACAAACAAAAAAAAATGGCTCGTTCACAACAAATGTTCCCTGTCGGAACATTTGTATCTTTACGCTCACTTCATACCGGTACACCTAATATGTGTGAATTTGAGGCAAATACACAACTTCAAAAACAAAGCATTTCTCACAAAGCCAAAATTGACTCTTTTACATAAAAAACAATATAAATATATTAATATTTTATTTTCGACGTTAAGTCGGGCACTATTATTTTCATATTACTTTTATATTTTCATAGAGTCACTATCTCGATTGTTTGTGATAAGCTTAAATTACTTTCTACGTTTTACACTTGGAAAAAACATCAAAAGTACGCAGTAATGTTTTTTCGCGCACCGTTGCGAAACTTCGAACTCATTTTTCTCATTCGGTAAAATGTAAACTGCTTATTGTGAAGGGCTACACGAAATCTACAGTATATTGAAAATTTAAAAAGGTTGAACAAAATTAAAAAAGAAAGAAATATAAGAGTGAAAAATAATTATATAAAACAACAAATTTTACTTTTATTATAGTTTTTAACTTTATCAACTCATTTTGAAATCCCGATTTCATGTTAGGACTCCCTTCGGTAGTTGATTCATTGTTTTCTGCTAGAAGCGGGTCCTCCGTCTTGCCACCGCTGCTTTCAAGATAGGAATAGGAAATAACAGGGTACTAGCTCCCATTTGAGCAGAGCACTGCGACCATGATTGATCTTTTGTGCTACAACAGTACCTAACTGAATAAAAGATATTCCGCCTTTCGAATGAAGATCAAAATGTCGGTTGTTGAGGACTTCCTAATGTCGGAAGGTGAAAGCAATTCCCGACCCAGTGATTTCCTCCTGGCCCAGATCAAAGCTGGGCAGTCACATAGAATGTGGCTGGTTGTCTCCTCTGCCTCTAAGCAGAGTCTACAATCTATCTCTTCAGATAGGCCCATTTTGTTGAGATGGTAACGTAGCCCATGGTGACCCGTTAGATATCCCACTAG